TTTTATGAGCAGGCCGAAAGTCTATTAAAAATGTGTCCATGTTGAAATCTAAAAGAAGTTTTGACACATAGACTCAACTAAAGACTTTAATTTCAGCTGTAGCTGCACCTTTTTCCTAATAGTGAAATAGCATTCAGCTAAATCAGAATCAAATTCTAAAGACCACATTGGTTTTAATATTAAATTAATTAATTTTGGTATTGGCACTGCTCTGAGTAGCTGTTAGCTTATCAATCTGGTCAATAACAATAATGGTTTAAATATTTATAAGACTTCCCAAGGTAGAAAAAGTGCTTCATTGATTACCCACTCACTGACACACTGCTGTGGTAGGCTTGTGTGCAGCTACAGCTGCCCTGTGGCTGAGTCCTACCAACATTCACACACAGGCCAGGTGGGAGAAATGTCTTGCCCAAAGACACACCAGAAGGGCTTAGAGGGAGCTGAGTTCAAACCAATAAACGTGCAATTAGTGGATGTCCCATTCTAGACCCTGAGCAATGTCGATGTGGTCCTTCCAATCCAAATTAGCAAGGGGGGTGAAAATGTCAAATTAATATAATTTCTGGTCTCAGTAGGATATTAATACTGTCTGAAAGGTATTTTGTTTGTGTTTCTTAAATCTATATGAACATTTTCACATTTATTCTCCAGTTTGAGAGGCTTTTCTTCTCCTTATATCAGTACAAGTTATTGGTTTAGGTCACAGCTCTTACTGTAATGATAGTCACTGAAAATAGAAATAAGTGTCTGTTTTTTCTGTATCTCGTATGACTTGGTGTCTTTCTTTAGCCTCTGACAGCAAAAAAGCCCAGATTAGATTTAGGGAAAACTGTAACTTCTGCATGGATGAAATAAATAAATGTGCACACAGACAACCAAACCCAAAACATTTTTCAACGAGGTTAAAGAAAAAGTCTGTTTCTGAAACTCTTCTCAGATGATGTTGACCCTCATTTCTCATTTGTTTTATTTGTGTCCAGTCTTACACTTAAAAACTAAATACCAGAGGTTCCTGTGAGGACTTACAGCCACTTCTACTGATTTAACAGAACAACAAAGATGACTGGAAGCTATTGATTTCTGAGTTGGAGTCTGACCAAAGACAGCTGTATTCCCATTTAACCCATTACGACCGGATACTAAATGTTTTATGTAACACACACACAAATCAAATCAAAGATACTTCCCAGAGGGAAATTAGAGTTTCAGTACACACAATTCAGAGATCAGACATACATGGGCAAGACACATGACAAGAATTGGTGACTGTGGTCATTCGCAACCCTGAGTCGCGCTACCTTAATAGAGATGAGAGGGTTACATGAGGGTTGGTTCAGGTGTGTGTGTGTGTGGGGGGGGGGGGGGGGGGGGGGGGGGCACTTCAGAGTTACCCTCCCACCAGGAGGGCAGCTTTGCTCTGCAAAAAACACCTCAAACAGATATGCAACAGACTTCAGACATTACACAACAAAAGTGTCCACTAGGTGGGGTGGTGGGTTGGGACTATCCCCACTTCAGTTCCTGCAGCCACAATAGAAGCAGCGCATGTCACCTCAGTGTGGTTAGGGGGAGGAGCATTGAGGGTTGGAGGGTTGCAGTGACCCTGGAACGTTTCAGCGGCCTTCCTATAGTCCCGCCCAGGCTGGGATAGGAGACAGAGTTGAGTTGCCTTAGCGACGGCACATTCCACTTATCTTCTGAGGGGGGAGTTTTCGTTGTAGCCTTGCAGGCTCAAGGGCGCCAGATTCCGATTAGAAATTGTTTTGGGGCCAGACAGAGATGATCTCCTCTCTGTCTTACAGTTTGTTGCCTCTTCTTCCGGCACTCGCAGAGTACAGACGCTTCTGCTTTTGCTCCCTTATCTTTTTTTCCCAAGGTTCTTTGTCCTGTCTGCCCACAGAGCGCTTCTCTGCATTTCTTCTGAAAAACCCTATTTTTTAGAAAGGATTTAATTAATTGGTCATTCAATGCGATTGATAAGATTTTTTCTACGATGAGAACGGAGGAGGGGGCTCCCACATGCCCGCAAGGGACACACGCAGCGGGACATATGCTCGATTCCTGGAGGGAGTGGAAGATCGTATGCCTCTCTCAATTGTCCATTGAGGATGTCGAAGACGTGTGGATATTCAGCCTGATGATCACTGGATTTCTTCTGACTGGAGTGGGAGGATATCTGGTTTTCTGGAAATTTGGGAAGACGGGAGCGATTGGAGGGCGACCCGCACCCATGGAAAGCACCGTTCATGTGGAGACCTCACAGACTGGGATGTTACTCGAGGTGAATCGTAAGCTGGTTAATGTTCTAGCTGCGATACCGATATTAGTGCGCAAAATGGATGTCATCTCGGAGAGGGTCACCGGACGGTGTGGAGATGTTTAAAACCTGAATTGGCTTCACTGGAGGACTTGAATGATCAGTTACAGACTTGAAGGAAGAGAGGAATATTATCTCTGCCTGACCCAAACAAAGTCTTGTTATCCGAATCTGACACCATGGCAGCCTTGTGAATGCCAACAACAACCCCCCACGAAGGAATGCGGACAGATGCTGTGAAAACCCAACCTAACAGCCCCCCCACCCCACCCCCCGCCTTCGGATTGGTGGACTTCAGCCTGGCGAGGTCATCAACCTGCAGGTGTCAATGTGCTCTGCGCTCCTCCCATGAGTGCCTCTGTGCTGTCCTTCAGACCAGCTTTTTCTAGCCATTGGTAGGATTTATGATATCAGCCACTTCAGTATCTGTTGGTGGTACATCCCATGTAGGGGTTTGTCCTCCCACGAAAATATTTCCAGCATCTCCTCTTTTGTTCACCATTGTCTGAGATATTCACTGAGTACGTCATCTGTTGGGGCCTTATCCTTGATGTTCTTATGGATCTTGGATGTTTCAGTGGCTCTCACACTCACTAGTCCTCGGCCTCCTTCCTTACGGCTAGTGTACAGTCTCAGTGTACTTCTCAAGTCCGAGTGACATTCCGATATAGTGTTGTAGATCCTGGTGGTGTGGATCAGTGAGTCGATGTCTCGTTCACTCTTGGCATACACCTTTATGTCATCCATCTAGAGGAGATGGCTGATTGCGGTTCTGTTTTTGAGTCGCATGCGGTTGATTATTATAGATTTTCTCTGCTGATATTTTGGGGATTCCAAGATTATATATATATATATATATATATATATATATATATATATATATATATATATATAATTTTTTTAATTACTTTCATGAATTCTCAGTAACAGACTCAATGGTATAATAAATACTCAGTAGGTCCCAATGGAAAACAGATTTGGAACAGTGCTTTTCATGGGCCGGTATGAACAGGTAGTCTAAGTAGTGCCAGCAACTTCAAATTTTACCTCTGCGCATGCTGGGACTGTTTTCTAGCATGTCGTACATACAGTTACTCCTTAAGGGCATTTATTAGTTCGTCTCTCAGTTTCGCACAATTTCCACTCAACCACCCTCGAAGGAGACTGGAGGAACGTTGGAAAGCAAAAGCTTTAAAGAATGAACGAACTTGATTTCTTTCTGCATGAGAGGCAGTGAAACAAAGGTTTGGAGGACAGTAAGAGACTTTGAAATGTGGGAATAGTATGAAAAGTTCACCAAAATTAGCAGACTTGGTCAAATTCTAAATGTTAGAAACTTTTGATTTACTGTGAAGAGGTTTAACTCTTTTACTCTTCTCATTTTTGTTTTGTATGGTTTGCAATTTTAAATTTATAATAAATGTAACTGTGTTACTGCATATTATTGTTTATCAGTGTGCTTTTTTATCTGAACATTTCCACAGTTAAATTGTTATCATTATTATTTTCATTTATTTTTTATTTTTTTGCAGAAAACCTTGCTTTTATCTGTTTATTTAGCTACTTATTTGGAGCTAGGAGACAAGAAACTTGACCGCAACCCAACAGCAGCAGCCACAGCTCAGAGCAGAACTAGATACAACAAACACACGCATAAATACAACCAAGATGATACCTTTCATCGGCTTGCTACTTCAAGGAAATTAATGAGACAATTGTTCCGTCAGCTAAAGTATATCTGTGTTTAATCTCAGCAACAAGAAACTACAGAAGCTTCAAGGCAGCTGATATTTTGCTGAGCTCTGTGTTCTAAGAAAGACAACATCACATTTTAGAGATAAGCTGGCCTAAATAAACATCCTCAACTGCAGTTCTGTCAGGTAAAAAATGTTTGAATGACAAATTTTCTTTTACATCATCAGCAGACCACACACAAAGTAGGTGCATTTAAAAACTCACTCCCTTGAATGGGATATTCCTTTTGTTTGGTATTAAATAGGTTTAATATTGGTGCAAAGTTAACAACTTTCCAACAGTGGGAACACATTGAGATAATGAATCTAATCACTTCGCGATGAATGATGTAAATAAACATAGAGAGAGAGAGAGAGAGAGAGAGAGAGAGAGAGAGAGAGAGAGAGAGAGAGAGAGAGAGAGAGAGAGAGAGAGAGAGAGAGAGATCAGCTGCATGCTCACCTCTCCATGAAAAGACTTGAGCTGCAGGAACAAGTCAGTGTCTATAAACAAAAAATAACAAGTGGTTATGATTTATGTCTATCTTGCAAAATCCACTTTGGACCTTTTGCACATATTTTATCATATTTCTTGAAAACTACCCAAAAAGTGTTTTTTGGTTTCATGCATGCATGTTCCTTTCTTAGCTGCTTCCATCCCAACACATTCTCACTCCCGAAGCATTGAAAACTGACGCTGGGTGACCAAGCGTTTTATTTTCTGAGGCGTTGGGAGTCCCAGCGTGTCGCAAACCGACTCTTGACTGCCGGAGCTTTGGTTCTGACGCCTGAGGTAAAACGCACATTTTGAATTGATGACTGGTTTGTGTTAGCCTCACACCCCCTCCCTTTCATATGTGAGACTTCTCATCCCTCCCTCCAACCATTGTCAACTCTTTAAAAAGGTATTAATCAGTTTCAGCACAAAGTGTCGGCTCTCTCACACACACACACATTTAAAGCACTTCTCCCTTTTCAGAAAATGCCTGACTCTCTCTGAACCATTCAGCATCCATAGAGCTCCAGGAGTTGACGTCACTTCTCCCGGCATGCAACAGTTCAAATCGCACGGCGCCATCTTGGCAGGCAGAAGCCCACAGCTAGGCTATTGGTTGTCATAAAACTCAAATATGGTAGATTCCTTTGTGCCCCAGGATGCCAGAACAGACGGGGACAAGATAAGGGAAGATCCTTCTACAGGATTCCCCAAGATCCGGAATGCCGCAAACGTTGGATCATCGCAATGAAACGCGCTAGCCTCCAGGGTAAAATGAAGTTGTGGGATCCCGAGAGTAAAGGTTTTCGCTTATGCAGTGACCGCTTCATATCAGGTACTTAAACCAACGTTTCCTCAACTGTGTATGGTATTTATTTTAAATGCTTTTATTACGATACTTAGTGGGCTTCCTAAACTTATTTTGGCATGGCTTTTTCTGTCTTATTACTCATAGCAACAAGTAAACATCACGTAAAACGTTGACTCGTGACTTCTGCGTGCCTCTGTTTACGTGTTTTATGATCACAGAAATTAACCGGCTAAGCTGTATTTCATTTTTAAGCAATGGTTGATCAATTGTCAGATCACACATAAAAAGCACTTTGGATTGCTATTATCTATCTCACCGAGACAGATCTCAGACAGATCCTGAGACGCTCCTGCCTGACATATTTATTTTATTCACGGATAAAATCAGACTAGTGATTTCTCTTGGCGTTCAGTTTATACATTCAAACAGCACAGCACTCTATTTAACTTACATGTAAATCTATGTTATTTGTGTTTTTAATTAGTTTTATGGATTTGTGCTGAAATGTACAAATGATGACTTCATCTGTTAACAGAAAAATTTATTTATCTTCAGGTGCAAAGTGACCTGGTACCTACCATCGACATATACATATATGGACAATGGGTTTCCATAGACTCCAATAACACGTTTTGGAAGAGAAATGGGAGGTGGCCACCACCGCCATTTTGACTGTGTCACAGGTTCCGTCAAGCCCAGACAATTCCACAAAAGGGAAGAGAGGTGGAGCTGAGGGTGGGGCTGTAAGGCTGGGATCAAGTGACGACACCCGGTCAAACTTGCTACAAGCTAACCTGAAGCTAACCCAAAGCTAACACAGAGGTGAGAGCTAAGGTAACGGAGGTAGCAACCTAGCTACAACCGGAGTTAACTGTGCACAACACCAGAGCTTCTGAGTCAGAGATACGCCGGGCTGACTGCTGGGTAAAACCGGGTGGAACACAGAGGTCTCCGAGAGCTCCACAAGCCGGCAGCCGCACAGCAGACAAGTGCCGCTACGATCTGAGATGCACAGAGTTGCCGCTAGGGAGAACCGGGTGGAAAGGTTTCCATCCCAGAGCTCCACAAGCCAGCAGTCCGCGCAGCAGACAGAAGCCGCGATCAGACAGAGATACGCCGGGCTGCAGGGAGGGGAGAACCGGGTGGAAAACATCGGTCTCCCGAGAGCTCCACAAGCCGATAGTGGGAACCCAGCTCCACCAACATGTTATATTTCAACCCATTTTCTAAAGTGCAGCATTATGTTAAATGCACTGGGTTTTACCCTATTACATTTAAATTTCATGGTTAAACAGTACATGTTAAAATCTAAGCTCAGCTCGGCAGTGACCTAAAATACATAAATATAATTTTACTTACCGAAAAAATGAAGTGGAGACTCCTTGGATGCTCTATTAGTGCAATTAATGCCACAACAAGTCATTTTGTCCAACAATTGCACAAATAATATCAAAAAAAGAACGCACAAATGCTACAACTACCCCGAAAGTGATTAGAATAAGATGTAGTGATTTCTCTTGTCTTTGTGAGGATTAAAAGCGTCGTTGGAAGCGGATTAAAAGAGAAAGAAGAAGAGGATTTTTTTTCAGTCATAAAGTTTATAGTAGGTTTTCTATCTTTGTATCATGAGTCATGCGACTGAAAATGGTGATTTGCTTCCGGACTGGTTTGATCTGAGTGGACTTTCAGAAATGAGTGAAGCAGATGCAAATGATTAGATTTTAGATTTAATTCTAGCCTGCCAAACTCCTCCTGTTGTCAGAGCCGGATTAACGCAAAGGCAAAGTAGGCACGTGTCCTATGATAGAATTTGTAGAGAGGACTCATCCTCTCTAGAATCTATTTCAATATTTATTAACTAAAAATAGTGACAATGTTTATCTTAACCATAGACTGTTACATGCGCTATGTCACATTAACGCCAGCCTATCACAGTAGCCTACAACTTGGGCGCCACCCAATTAAGGACGTCAGAGAACGAAGCGGTCAGAGTGAGAGCGGGACCATCGAGCGGCTGCGGGACACGACTAAGCTAGTAGCAGGTGTTTTAGGTTAACTTTCGCGATGCTTTCGGGTGTGGCAAAACGTAAAAAGAAAAAAAGAGAAGAGGAACAAAAGGGGAAACAGCGGGGGGCTCTAAAGAAGTTTCTGTCGGGCTGCTCGGTCAGCCGTCCGACAGCTGCGGACCTTCTGGAGTCAGCGGAGCCAGAGGCCGGGCCGGAGGAGACACAGCCCAAAGACGAGGTGGAAGATGCGGCGGGAAATGCGACGGAAGATGCTGTGGCGCCAACGCCATCAACATCAACGCAGTCGCAGACAGAACTGGAAGGACAGCAGCCAGCCAGAAGTGAGCCCAATATACAGCAGGAGCCTCCAGACCCAGAAAGGGTATTAAGAAGCTACCCATCTGATCCTGCAAAATGGTGTGAAATTGATGAGAGGATGCGTGAGTACTTTGCCCTAAACCATCCCTCTCAAAATATTGGAGATATCTCTGCATCACAGAGGAAATACAGAGACATAAACCGATGCTTAACTAAGGAACATTTTTTTAGAAAAAAGCTAAATGGAGAAACGCTGTCAAGAAAATGGTTAGTGTACTCACCGTCTACTGGAACTGTATTCGGTTTCTGCTGCAAGTTGTTCAGCGTAAGAGACAATCACGTAGTCACTGGATATAATAAAAACTGTGCTAATCGCTTGCATGAACATGAGAATAGTATGGATCATCGTACTGCTGTGCTGAGTCTATCATCACTTGGAAATAAAAATGCACGCATAGATTCAACCATAGTAAAGCAACAGGAGTCTGAGAGAGCATACTGGCTCAACATTTTGAAACGTATAGTGGCAACTATTCAGTTTCTTTCTTCAAGAGGACTGCCATTCCGTGGAGATGATGAGTTAATAGGATCACCCCACAATGGGAACTTTTTGGGCTGCTTGGAGTTAATTAGTCGCTTTGATCCACTTCTGTCAGAGCAAATGTGTCTAGCCAGATATGGAAACAAGGGCAGGGGACATAACAGTTACCTGTCCTCTACAGTTTGTGATGAGTTTATTCAGCTGATGGCTGAGAAAGTTCCGCGTGCCATTGTAAAAGAAGTAAAAGATGGCAAGTATTTCTCCATCATTGTGGACTCAACACCTGACATCACACATGTTGATCAGCTTACTTTGATGATTCGATATGTCCTGAAGAAAAGTCGTGAGCCTGTTGAGAGATTTTTGGAGTTCATACCTCTACATGGTCATACTGCAGAACACATGGAGGAAACACTCAAATTTGAATTAAAAGAACTGGACATTGATTTGATGGACTGTCGTGGGCAGAGCTACGACAATGCTAGTAACATGGCAGGGAAATATTCTGGTCTCCAAGCAAGAGTAAAAAATAAAAATCCTAATGCTGACTTCATACCATGTTCTGCACATTCTCTTAATTTAGTTGGTGCATGTGCAGCAGAATGTTGCATTGGAGCAGTTTCATTTTTTGGCTTCATTCAAAATCACTACAACTTCTTCTCAGCTTCAAGTCGGCGGTGGGAGATTTTAACAGCCCATCTGACCGCGACGTCACATGTCGCATTGGAAAGGCAGCGGCAGTGTTCCGGCGGCTACAGCCAGTCTGGGCGTCTGGGTCCATCGGGCTACAAGCAAAAATCCGCCTATTCAACACGATCGTCATTCCAACCGCCATATACGGGAGCGAGACATGGAGGTCGACAGCGGCCATCACACAGCGCCTCAATGCGTTCCAACAACGATGCCTCAGGCGCATCCTTCACATTTCCTACCTCGACCACATCACGAATGAAGCGATCCACCACCAAACGGGAACACGCCAACTCGCTGAGGTCGTTGCAGAGCGACGGTTTCGGTTTGGGGGCCATGTGCTACGAATGGCTCAAACACGCATACCAAAAGTGGCCATGCTGTGGACCCCAGGACGCGGAAAACGGAAACAAGGACGGCCAAAAATCACATGGCGCAGAACTTTTATCGAAGACCTACGTGCCGTGAACCTGTCATGGGATGAAGCCGAGGCCGTCGCGGCCGACAGAGCTCGCTGGCGATTACTTTGCGCCCAATGCGCCAGTAGGCGCCGGAGGAACTAAGTCTAAGTCTAAGTAAGTCATCTGACAAAATGTGAGCAAGGTCTGACGCTGAAGAGCCTTTCCAGCACAAGATGGTCTGCAAGAGCTGAAGCAACAAAAGCTCTGAGATTTGGCTACAAAGCTATACAGGATGCTTTGAATGAAATCAAAGTTGACCATGAAACCCCCAGAGCTGCTCAATATGAGGCAAGTCAATTAATAACAGTGATGGAAACCCTTGAAACTGCAGTTATGACAGTGCTGTGGGATGAACTGCTGAGAAGAATCAATGTAACCAGCAAAGCATTGCAACAGGTACACGTTGATGTATGTACTGTTCCTATTCCGAACAGTTCACTCATAGAATACATAGGACAGGCCAGAAATGATTTTGATGTCTATGAAGCAGAGGTCAAGACTCTCACAGCGACAGAGGGATACAAAGCAGATAGCCAAAGGAGATGAGTAAAGAAAGTTATGTTTGATGAGTCTGCAGGTCCAGAGGTGTGGTGCTCTGGCTGTGAAGCATTCTTGATTGACACCCATTATGTCATCTGTGACTGCTTGTCACAAGAATTGAAAAAACGCAAAGATGCATACAAAAAGGTGGAGGAGAAATTTGGTTTCCTTACCAAAAGGAAATCAATGAACATTGAACAAATCCGTGCAGCCACAGAAAAGTTGAAGAAAATATACCCCCAGGATGTTGAGGAGGACTTTACAGCAGAGTTTTGTCAGTTCATGTCAATGGTAAAAGATGAAGAATCAGTCACGGCCATGTACAAGAAATTTCTAGAGCTAGGCTTGAGGGATGCTTTTCCTAATGTGGACATTTGCCTTCGCATGTATCTGACATTACCGATTGCAAACTGTTCAGGAGAAAGATCATTTTCTGTGTTGAAACAAGTAAAAACACATCGGAGAGCAACAGTCACAGGAAAAAAACTGAATGCCTTTGCTCTGTTAGCAATTGAAAATGGATTCACAACTGCACTGGATTTTCACGACATCATCGAGGACTTCACCAAATCAAAACTCAGGAGAAAGCATCTGTAAATGTAAGTTTTTTCTTTTGAATAAGTAAAGTGAATATGAAAATCAAATGTAAGATGCATACAGTATAAATTAAATGTATAATATTGGGCTATATGTTCTACTATAATTAAATGAAATATGAGAAACAAACCAAGTTTATTCATATCTGAAACAGCTGTCTTATGTATACATTTTATTATTTCAGCACAAGATTGTGATTATGCCGTCAAGACGTATTTCTGCTGTTCATATGTTGCAGTAAATCACAGCTGTGGAGAATGGCGACTTAAGAGGAGCAGAGAAGAAGACAGGAGGAGACTGGACAAAAGACGAGCAGACAGGAGGGGGAAACTGGACAGAAGTGGTGAGAGTATGAGAGTAGATACTATTTTGTAAATATGTGTTCTGTCGTGGGTGTTTTGTGTCATGGGTGTGGCTATGGCAATTAAAGGATATTATTTGCACACTGCAATTGAGTTTGACACCCCTGCCCTATGTTTTCTTCAGTTCGCCTCTTTTTAAAGTTACTTGAAACTTACTTTTTTCGTAACGTACGTGGTGCATTTGACAAGACAGAGCTGAAAACGGCTCGTGCTGCGTCAGTGACTGCCACCGCTCCGGCCGTTTTTTTCCCCTCTTTCTTTCTCCTCTTCCTCTGGATCCACTCCCTCTTTCCTATTCACTCTCTCTCTCTCTCTCTCTTTGCATTTTTTAATCACAATTGTCTATTTTTAACTCATTTTAAATATATTTTAATCATTTTCTAAATTCTTTTTTCTATTTTGCATGTTTTGTTTTTGTGAAGCGCCCCGTGATTTTTATCTTGAGAGGCGCTATAGAAAAGATCTTTTCTTCTCTCTTAATTCATGCACTTAAATATTAATGTTCTGATTTTATTGAAAAACTGGTTCTGTAATAGTTCCTTTACTATTGTGATCAAAAACATTTAATCTCAACTCTGAGGTTGCTCTGTAAATAGTTTTCAAATAAACAATACACATATCAACTTCTGATCAGACTTAAAATAGCGTATTGATGTAAACCACTCCCACTTCTGGTTAAACTACACCCACTTCCGGGTTAGGCCACGCCCACTCCGAGTACAGAAGCGGATAATTTGGATTAAATAAATGAACTACACTAGGCAGGCTGCATTTTTTGCCCCCCCCCCCCCATCAATTTTATTTAATGAGCTGAAATCTGAAACTTACCAAAGTGACTAATAAAACAGGAGAAATGCAGAGTATCTGCTGAAGATGACATGATTAAATTGGGCTCCAACAGGTGAATTTATATATAAAGGCGATGTGCAGAAAGGGTCTTAAATCCTTGATTTGGTTAAAAACATCACAAATCCTTTAAAAAAAAAACAACGGGGTGGATTAATTTCCTAAACACTCTGGTGGAGACAAATGTACCGCTATCAGCTGTGACAAATCCACTAGCACGTCAGCATATTACGCAACTCAGGAGCGAAGGGGGGCTACTTCCGGCTGCGGGTGAAAAAAAGAAGCAACTGTCCGGTCAGGCTGGTATTTTAAAGAAGAGGAGACAAAAGAGAGGGATAATTTTATCTCCAAGTTGGAGCGATCTGCCCACTTTGAAGAAATGGATCAGCTTTTCCCCATAAATTAATCACATGTTCAACTTTTTTGTGATTGTTCAATAAAACGTTTATTCAAAACAAATTTCAGTCCATGACATTCTTTAAACATTTTGAGAGTACAATTCATCTGTGTAAAATAGAAATCATGACATTTTATACAATTTTTATATTTTTTAACAAAATTATAAGCCATAGGATCATTCATCGAAACATTTTTATGATATTTTGACAGAATTTGTTTGAGAGAAACTCCGCTGGCCTTATGACACAAGAATAACACACAATGATGTCCGCAGCGGTCGGATGTCAAACTCTGCAGCTGGTCATCCTGATAATGTCTTTCCGAGCAGCGTTATTTTAGAAAATTCAGGATGGTTTCTGGGTAATATTCAAACTCTGGTGAAAATCCACAAGAATCGAAAAATGTCCCGAGGCCATCTTGCTCCACAGCTAACGCTAACCAGTGTTCACCAGGTAAATGAGAGGGGTGGGTGTTCACCACAAAATAGGCAGGTAGCTGTATGTTTTTAGGGATTGTAGACAGCTGATCAGATGCATAAACTCCGCAAAAAAGATCTCCCAGCAGGCTCGATAATATTCTGTGCAGTTCATGGTTATCCATCAATAATAATCAACCAGCACCTCTGTCTTTGAGTTTATCTCGAGAATGGATTCGCAACATGCATACACAGGGAGTGTAGCCGTCTCTCTCAGCGGGGTGCTGAAGCAAATCTCCATTCTCAAGTTGCTACTGTAAACCGGTGACAACGCCCCCAGGTCATCCACAGAGTTCAGATTGAAGGCAAACAGCATATACCCTTGTTGATATTCTAGCCTGTTAATCGCAAGAGGTAAATCTTTCAAATGTCCTGAGGTGGCTGTAAACAGATTATAAAATTCTCTGACTGACGTTCTCTGATCAAGTCGGCTGAAAGGCTTTTGAAGGTATCTGTTTACCGTCTCTGGACAACACAAGATATTCCACGTTCATGTGGCGAAAATTAAACGGAGAAAGGTCTCTTCTCCCCGTATAGGCCTCATGATCCACTAATCCCAGTACTACATATTTAGGGATGGCTCAGAGAAAGAGGTTCTCGAGATTGCATATCCTCGAATTTTGTGGAATTGAGTAAGTCTTGACGGTAACGCATGAAAGGGTATATAAGGCGTTTGCTTTTAGTAAAGCAGATCCGTGACCCAAACGTACGGTGGGTGAAACATTAACTTTTTTCACTTAAAGCGAAGCACCCAGCAGTTTCAGCTTGTAGGTGGAGTTACGTGCCCTCATCAGGTAGAAAGCATGATTCTGAGATCAACCGAGTTTAAAAGAAGTCTTTGACAAAAAAATATATCAGAATGCAGGGGCCCTATCAGGTCCACCTCTCTGGAGTTTTCTGTAAAAATCGCTCACTGATTAAAGTCTGAATTCGGCCCGTTATTTGTAACAATGGAATCATGTGCACCTGCCGTGTCTTTGAAAAATAAGCCGGCGCTGAATTGAGATGCCAAACTCGCTTCCAAAAAGTTCAGCAGAGTTTCAATAATTGCACAATAGGGATGCGTGGTGCTGGATTGTGAAATCAAGCGGTCGCCGAGGATCACGTCGCATTGTGAGAAAATTGTGTTTATAGGATAATTAATCAGAGCAGTGGCCGCTCCGTTAGCCAGCGGAGTCCCATCATCGTTTGTAATTTTCACACGTAAAAACAGCAGCGTGTCGTTTAAATCTAAATATTTTTCAGCATCTCCTGGGACAAAAAATTCTACAGGTCCATTATCCGTCGCTGCTATGGGTAAAATTTCACTGTAGATCTTATCTTCGATAGACAGTTGCGTCATGGGCACAGTGAAGAGGTCCAATTCGTTCAGTGTGCATTCTGATGATTTACTGTGAAGCAGTGACACGATTAGAAAATGTCGGAGCCTCGCTGTTGATACTTCTTCATTTTTTGCTTGCATTTTGTAACTGGAGCTTTTAAGCGCCGGTCGTTTTGTGAAGTAGATCCCTTTTCACGCCAGCCAGGGGGTCTTTTCCGGACTAGCCTTGACAGAACCATGAGCCCTGACCCCTCCTGCGCGTTAAGCTTGGTTTATGCTTGACGCATTCACTTTCCGCGCGGTGATGCGGCTCACGGATGGAACGCGCTTCACAACTCGCAGCGTTTATGGTTCGTGCGGCTCGTCTCTGCGGTGAGCCAATATTCTCCCAAACTGAACGGGGCAGCATGGAGCTCTACAGCATGCATCCAACACTACACCATAGTAGAAGTAGAAATTACTGTTTACAACATGGCATTCCAGCATTTTTAACAGCGTTCTCGTCTTTTCCGACAGTGCGAGCTATTTCTCTCCAAGAATTATTAACAACATGTTGATCACGGTGATCTCTGAGAGCTGAATCATACAAATGTCTGTATTTACGAACCTCTGCCATACTAGTTCTTGCCGGTCCACCATGTTTTTCCGCGTCCGTCCGTCCACGTGGTTAGAAATTTCCGAGGTGCGCGTTGTGGAAATTCTGGGCGGTGCGGAGGCGCGGTGGAGGGGCGTGGTTGTTAAAATGACGCAAAATGACGCAACTTTTCCGCGCGAAGCCGTGCGGACCTCACGGACGCGTCAAGCATAAACCAACCTTAAGGCTCAATGATTTTACTGACGGCTTGCGTCAACACATCTGACGCAATTCCTGTCACAAGGTGATATAAATCTGAAGAGTCTTGAAAATATCTAACCAAAGCTGTGCCCGTATAAATAAGGAACGCCGCTAAAACCCGGGAGACCTTGACCGGCCTGAGTTACATAATAATTAATAGAACAGTTGGGGTCATTTCTCTGCAGGCGATAAATAATTTTTTCGTTTGCAAGATGTATGCTGAGCTGAGTAAAAGAGCGTAACTGACTCTCACACCGTTTCACGCACTTTATATTATCGTATTTCTCTGATGAGCGGGCCTGAAATGAAGCCTGTTGGTTTTCCGTATAAGAAGTGAATCGGCTCATTCTGATCAGATTTTTTTCGATATGCATGTTTTCTATATGATTCGTAGAGACGGGGATGTAATCCACAGGGTTAAACACATGAGTAATTGTGTTCCCAAAGGTACCTTCAACTTTCACCGTGCGTAATAACGGGGCATACACATCACCCACCAAAGGCTCAGTCATTATATCTGAATAACAATAAAGCTGATATAGACCACCGGTTAAATCGGGGGAATGAGGCGCTGATTTGACCGGTTTATCACTGGCAGGCCCTTCAGGCGTCAACCACTCATTCGCATTGAAACCTAGCATATACACCAAAGGAGCTGCAAATCTAAATTCTATTTCACCACCAATCTGATATTTGAGAGTGGGATTGGGGGTTCTGTAAATGAGATAGAAATCAGGATGAATCTTTCTCATAACAGTCTTGCACTCATTCCCAACTTGTTGTACATTTTTATAATACCCGGGACTAATCGGAGCTCTGTTGGTTTTCTCAGGTTTGCTCATTCTTCGCCATTCTAAAAAAGCACGCTCATTCGGTAAATTAAACTAGGAGTGGGTGTAGGTGATTTCTGTTAGCCCTACTTGCCACCTGCCATTCAGATTGATGTGACGCGCAAGATCGATTCTGTAACTGGAAATTGTATTATTTTTAAATACATTGGCACTGGCGTTACAGGGCAATGTGATATGTAGGTGTGAGGCCTTAATCCAACTGGAACATTTTTGGGGCCAGCCGAGCCACTTAACGAAAACTTGCCACTCTCCTT